TGTTTCTGGCTCATTAACATATTTTGAGGAGTGCCTTGTAAGAGGCTACATTTGTTGCACCTGTGACTGAAAGTGCTGTATTAGTGCCCCAACAATTAAATGTTTATAGGGACAGATCGGTTTGATGCTTGCTGCCACTCCAATTTGCCATGCCCTTGGTCTATTTGGCCTTGTAGTAACTGCAAGTTTGGAAGCCTTTGTTAAGGCCTCCAGAAGTGCAAGTGATTCATACCCACACACATTATATATATATATATATATATATATATATATATATATATATATATATATATATACATACATACATACAGTTGAAGTCGGAAGTTTACATACACTTAGGTTGGAGTCATTAAAACTCGTTTTTCAACCACTCCACAAATTTCTTGTTAACAAACTATAGTTTTGGCAAGTTGGTTAGGACATCGAATTTGTGCATGACACAAGTAATTTTTCCAACAATTGTTTACAGACAGATTATTTCACTTATAATTCACTGTATCACAATTCCAGTGGGTCAGAAGTTTACATACACTATGTTGACTGTGCCTTTAAACAGCTTGGATAATTCCAGAAAATTATGTCATGGCTTTAAAAGCTTCTGATAGGCTAATTGACATCATTTGAGTCAATTGGAGGTGTACCTGTGGATGTATTTTAAGGCCTACCTTCAAACTCATTGCCACTTTGCTTGACATCATGGGAAAATCAAAAGAAATCAGCCAAGACCACAGAAAAAAGATTGTAGACCTCCACAAGTCTGGTTCATCCTTGGGAGCAATTTCCAAACGCCTGAAGGTACCACGTTCATCTGTACAGACAATAGTACGCAAGTATAAACACCATGGGACCACACAGCCGTCATACCGCTCAGGAAGGAGACGCGTTCGGTCTCCTAGATATGAACGTACTTTGATGTGAATCAATCCCAGAACAACAGCAAAGGACCTTGTGAAGATGCTGGAGGAAACAGGTACAAAAGTATCTATATCCACAGTGAAACGAGTCCAAATCGACAAAACCTGAAAGGCCGCTCAGCAAGGATGAACCCACTGCTCCAAAACCTCCATAAAAAAGCCAGAATACGGTTTGCAACTGCACATGGGGACAAAGATTGTACTTTTTGGAGAAATGTCCTCTGGTCTGATGAAACAAAAATAGAACTGTTTGGTCATAATGACCATCGTTATGTTTGGAGGAAAAAGGGGGTCGCTTGCAAGCTGAAGAACACCATCCCAACAGTGAAGCACGGGGGTGGCAGCATCATGCTGTGGGTGTGCTTTGCTGCGGGAGGGACAGGTGCACTTCACAAAATAGATGGCAAAATTATGTGGATATATTGAAGAAACATCTCAAGACATCAGTCAGGAAGTTAAAGCTTGGTCGCAAATGGGTCTTTCAAATGGACAATGACCCCAAGCATACTTCCAAAGTTGTGGCAAAATGGTTTAAGGACAACAAAGTCAAGGTATTGGAGTGGCCATCACAAAGCCCTGACCGCAATCCTATAGAACATTTGTGGGCAGAACTGAAAAAGGGTGTGCGAGCAAGAAGGCCTACAAACTTGACTCAGTTACACCAGCTCTGTCAGGAGGAATGGGCCAAAATTCACCCAACTTATTGTGGGAAGCTTGTGGAAGGCTACCCAAAACGTTTGACCCATGTTAAACAATTTAAAGGCAATGCTACCAAATACTAATTGAGTGTGTGTAAACTTCTGACCCACTGGGAATGTGATGAAATAAATAAAAGCTGAAATAAATAATTCTCTCTACTATTATTGTGACATTTCACATTCTTAAAATAAAGTGGTGATCCTAACTGACCTAAGACAGGGAATTTTTACTTTTATATTGTGAAAAACTAAGTTTAAATGTATTTGGCTAAGGTGTATGTAAACTTCGGACTTCAACTATATATATATATATATATACACACACTACCGTTCAAAAGTTTGGGGTCAGTTAGAAATGTCCTTGTTGTCATTTTTTTTGTCCATTAAAGTAACATCAAATTGCCAGTTGAGGACCTGTGAGGCGCCTGTTTCTCAAACTAGACACTCTAATGTATTTGTCCTCTTGCTCAATTGTGCACCGGGGCCTCCCACTCCTCTTTCTATTCTGGTTAGAGCCAGTTTGCGCTGTTCTGTGAAGGGAGTAGTACACAGCGTTGTACGAGATCTATCTTCAGTTTCTTGGCAATTTCTCGCATAGAATAGCCTTCATTTCTCAGAACAAGAATGGACTGACGAGTGTCTGAAGAAAGTTATTTGTTTCTGGCCATTTTGAGCCTGTAATCGAACCCACAATTGATGATGCTCCAGATACTCAACTAGTCTCAAGAAGGCCAGTTTTATTGCTTCTTTAATCAGCACAACAGTTTACAGCTGTGCTAATATAATTGCAAAATAGTTTTCTAATGATCAATTAGCCTTTTAAAATGATAAACTTGGATTAGCAAACACAACGTGCCATTGGAACACAGGACTGATGGTTGCTGATAATGGGCCTCTGTACGCCTATGTAGATATTCCATAAAAAATCTGCAGTTTCCAGCTACAATAGCCATTTACAACATTAACAATGTCTACACTGTATTTCTGATCAATTTTATGTTATTTTAATGGACAAAAAAATTGCTTTTCTTTCAAAAACAAGGACATTTCTAAGTGACCCCAAACTTTTGAACGGTTGTGTGTGTATTTATGTATGCATGTATGCATGCATGCATGCATACATATATATATATATATATATATATATATATATATATATATATATATACAGACAGACAGACACATATAATTGATATGCTGTAATATGAAAACACATTAAACATTTTATATACACTGCTCAAAAAAATAAAGGGAACACTTAAAACAACACAATGTAACTCCAAGTCAATCACACTTCTGTGAAATCAAACTGTCCACTTAGGAAGCAACACTGATTGACAATAAATGTCACATGCTGTTGTGCAAATGGAATAGACAACAGGTGGAAATTATAGGCAATTAGCAAGACACCCCCAATAAAGGACTGGTTTTGCAGGTGGTGACCACAGACCACTTCTCAGTTCCTATGCTTCCTGGCTGATGTTTTGGTCACTTTTGAATGCTGGCGGTGCTTTCACTCTAGTGGTAGCATGAGACAGAGTCTACAACCCACACAAGTGGCTCAGGTAGTGCAGCTCATCCAGGATGGCACATCAATGCGAGCTGTGGCAAGAAGGTTTGCTGTGTCTGTCAGCGTAGTGTCCAGAGCATGGAGGCGCTACCAGGAGACAGGCCAGTACATCAGGAGACATGGAGGAGGCCGTAGGAGGGCAACAACCCAGCAGCAGGACTGCTACCTCCGACTTTGTGCAAGGAGGAGCAGGAGGAGCACTGCCAGAGCCCTGCAATATGACCTCCAGCAGGCCACAAATGTGCATGTGTCTGCTCAAACGGTCAGAAACAGACTCCATGAGGGTGGTATGAGGGCCCGACATCCAGAGGTGGGGGTTGTGCTTACAGCCCAACACTGTGCAGGACGTTTGGCATTTGCCAGAGAACATCAAGATTGGCAAATTCGCCACTGGCGCCCTGTGCTCTTCACAGATGAAAGCAGGTTCACACTGAGCACATGTGACAGACGTGACAGAGTCTGGAGACGCCGTGGAGAATGTTCTGCTGCCTGCAACATCCTCCAGCATGACCGGTTTGGCGGTGGGTCAGTCATGGTGTGGGGTGGCATTTCTTTGGGGGGCCGTACAGCCCTCCATGTGCTCGCCAGAGGTAGCCTGACTGCCATTAGGTACCGAGATGAGATCCTCAGACCCCTTGTGAGACTATATGCTGGTACGGCTGGCCCTGGGTTCCTCCTAATGCAAGACAATGCTAGACCTCATGTGGCTGGCGTGTGTCAGCAGTTCCTGCAAGAGGAAGGCATTGATGCTATGGACTGGCCCGCCCGTTCCCCAGACCTGAATCCAATTGAGCACATCTGGGACATCATGTCTCGCTCCATCCACCAACGCCACGTTGCACCACAGACTGTCCAGGAGTTGGCGGATGCTTTAGTCCAGGTCTGGGAGGAGATCCCTCAGGAGACCATCCGCCACCTCATCAGGAGCATGCCCAGGCGTTGTAGGGGGGTCATACAGGCACGTGGAGGCCACACACACTACTGAGCCTCATTTTGACTTGTTTTAAGGACATTACATTAAAGTTGGATCAGCCTGTAGTGTGGTTTTCCACTTTAATTTTGAGGGTGACTCCAAATCCAGACCTCCATGGGTTGATACATTTGATTTCCATTGATAATTTTTGTGTGATTTTGTTGTCAGCACATTCAACTATGTAAAGAAAAAAGTATTTAATAAGATTATTTCATTCATTCAGATCTAGGATGTGTTATTTTAGTGTTCCCTTTATTTTTTTGAGCAGTGTATATTTGATATGCTGTAATTTGAAAACACATTACCTAGCAGCCAACCTGCTCACACTAATCCCATGCAATTAGAGTAAAATACTGTAAAAAATCAAACCCGCCTCCCCTCAATGAATTTAATTCATTCATACATTCATTAATTCATTACAATTACTGAAAGAAAAATTACAGTAAGTTTTGGTACCGTAAAAACTGATAATGGTAACATGCTGTACTGTGCATTTACAGCATTATACTGCCAGCATATTACTGTAATTATATAATACAGCTGTGTTGCTGTAATGATTACAGTTGTCTTACTGTAAAACATTTTACAGCATTCCTGCTGTAAAGCAAAATTACAGTATTTAGGGAAAAGTTTTACACTGTATTTATATCGGCCTACTAATTTGGGATCATGCATGTTTAAGCCTAATATATTAATTTATTATAATATAAGAATGCAATACATTTTAACAACTCTTTCACAAAAGCATCATCATATTCAAAATCTCGATTCATCACCTTTAAAATGGAATAACAATCATTTTAATAATGTATTATTAACGTATATCATCTTCCTACAGACAAACCATGGACCATCATTTTTTACCTCCTTCCCTCTGGACCAGTGAGGGTAAATTCCTCCACCCCCACGCGACAGTCCTCTACTCCAGCGTACATGTCACATGCAATATCCCTGCTGGGGCACAGTTCGGCCCATGCATCCTTCAGAACACGTTCTATGACACCATCGCCTTTATAGCGCTAAAATCCTGCGACAAGAGAAGCAAATCATACGTGTTCAGGGTAAGTTAATTTTATATTTAATAACACAATTTGGCTTGCAAGCTGGGATACCACGCAGAGACATAAGGATGCCACACAGAGACTCATAGGCTAAATCAAAATCTTCTTAAAAAATATAAACAACAAAATGGCTTGTTCTACAATGAGATATTTTTGTTGATATAGACATTCAGTCATCCATATACCAGTGGGAAATGATTGACCAGCCATTACATTTACACCTTTACAAATTCCAATCAATTCAATGTTTTCACCATGATTGAGGAGAGGTGATACTCATTTAAATATTGACAATGATGTCTCTATGAATGAATATTCATAATTATTTCTCTGAACAGGTGGACCCAGAGGCTATGCGGAGCTCTGCTCTCGTGCTGTCCTGGCTGCGGCTGGTGCAGGCAGCACGTGACCGGGAGGAGCAGAACACCGAAGCGTTCCTGAAGGGAGGCCAGCTGTATTTCCGGACCACCAGGGACATCCATCAGGAAGAGGAATTGTTGGTGTGGTATGACCAGGAGCTGTCACATCTACTGGGCTTCACTGACATCTCAACCAGAGGACATAATGCCGGTGAGAGAAATAGAGAAACTTGGGAAAGTGCTATAGAAATACAGCTCTTTATCAGCACCCTAACCAAAAAGATCCTATCCTGTAGGATTTTATCTTATAGGATTCAATACAAGAATCCAATGGAAGAATCCTATCAGATTTTGGAACCAGTCCTATTGGAATCCTATGGGATTATATCCTATAGGACTGGTTTCAAAATCTGCTAGGGTTTTTCTATTGGATTCTTGTATTGAAATCTTATTCAATAAAATCATATAGGATAGAATCCCATAGGAATCCAACAGGACTGGTTCCAAAATATGGTACGATTTGTCTATTGAATTATTGTATTGGAATCCTATAAGATAAAATTCTATAGTATCCCATAGGAGTCCAATAGGACTGGTTCCAAAATCTGGTACGATTTGTCTATTGAATTATTGTATTGGAATCCTATAAGATAAAATCCTATAGTATCCCATAGGAGTCCAATAGGACTGGTTTCAAAATCTGATAGGATTGAATCACTCCCATATTGTGCTGGTATGTTGAAGAGGTTGAGAACCTCAGGGAATTATTACTGGTGTGAGTAGGCGAAGAGATGAAGATTGTGCTCCGTAGAGACATGGGAGAGAGACTGTTCCTCAGTTTACTGGTCTGATTGCAGTTTAACATAAATGTTCAGGTTTCTGTGCCATATTTAGCTGTGAGATTGTCTAATAAAGCTCCATATTACATTATTTTAGCGCTAAGTTCCTGTACGTGGACTGTATGTGTTACTATATTACACAACCTCACGTTTTGACCACAGATTAGTGATGTTAGTATAAACATTTATAGTAATCACTACACAAAATGGATTGCTTAAAACAGATCAATATCATTGGTTTTGTACCGTTGATTCTGTCATACGTGCCGGCGGTCGAATTCTACTATCATTTTCAAACTCAAATGGCAGGGAAAATTCGGGGCGCATGCTCTATAAAACTTGCTTGCATCACACCAATACATACATTTGAGAGTCAAACTATCACTCAAATAACAGCCGACCCTTGTCACTATTGATATCCAATGGCGGGTCGTGATTCGTTGAAGTTAAATAACAAAGCAACTGATTTGTTTCCTTACCCGTTTTAGCAGCCTTACAAAACTTCCATCCGACATTCTAGAATTTAGATGATTTTCTTCAGCAAATTCTCTTCTAACCATTGCTATTCAAATTATTCTCAGATTCAGTGTGGCCTTTGAATAGTGTTAGTTTAAACAGTGCATACACACCAAATGTCTGCCACTGCTCTATAGATTTCAAATGTATATGAGTGATTAACAAAATAGTGTTGCGTTTAGCTTTCTGCGTTGGCGACCCACTTGAAACAAAATGCAACAATCCAAAATGTAGCTGGCTGTCTTCTACAAGTTGTCCTCTAACCAGTGATATACATATTATTCCCAGATATTTGTTGTTGTTGTGAGGTTAGTTTGAACAGGATGTGCAACCCGACTCCCCCCCTCTTGTTCTATTGATTTCAACATGACATCAATATGAGTGATTGATTGACAAATAAGTGTTTGTGTTGTGTTTCCGTTTCGGTAACCCCCAAATCAAAATGCATCACGCCAAAATGTAGCTGGTTGTCTTTAGCAGATTCTTCTCTAACAAGAGTTGCAAACAATATTTCCAATTTCACATGTGGTTTTTGAGTTGTGTTAGTTTCAACAGTGCATACAACCTGATTTCCCCCTAATCAATATGAGTGATTAATTGCCACTTGTCAAAGCAACAGGTGGGGAGCTGAACTTGGTAGTTAATTAACACTGCAAGACCTGCTAGCTGTGATGTCATCAATCACTCTTAAAGGGACAGCTTTCTTAAAGGTGAATAAAACAGAAATTAATATAGAACTGTTGTTTCTGATCAACGAAAATATTGTTATTAATGTTGTTGTATTGTACTAGAACTTATGACAACAACTTATAATTTATTGGGTTCAATTTAGAAAAAAAGTTCTAACAGGATTCTGATTGGGGTGACAAAATCCTACAAGAATGATCAAAACCTATAGGATCCAATCGGACTACATTTGATTTCCAATAGGAAAGAAAGTACTCCAATAGGATTCTGATAGAGGTGACACAAAACCCTATAGGAATGTGAGAATCCTATAGGATTCTATTGGAAAAATAATTAATCCTATAGGATATTTTGACAAGGGCATCTGCATCTTTTTCATGATCATCCTCAAAAGATAGGCCTACTAATGTTACCCTTGTTGTTTTGTTGTTTCAGAATTTGTCAGGAGTTTTGTTGTAGCCTGTGCGTAAATGCGTAATGGAACTGACAAAATGAAGAGACGTACTGAAAATGTTCAAACATATGTGGACTATTGTTATTTATTTACATTATGTCTGACTTCATTTTGCACCAATGTGTTTTGTAATGTACATATTAACTAACAAAATGTATATATCTTCACAGAGCTCAAATGCGCAAAATGTAACCAGGTCTTCAAGAACGAGCATCCCTACTTGGCCCACTGCCGCTTCCTGTGCGCGCAGGTGAAGAATGACATGCCGAGCAGAGAGGCCTACGAACACAAACACATGGAAATAAAGCGGCAACACCGCATCACAGACTTCCACAACATCGCCAGGGATCTGGAACGTAAAAAATCCAGCGCCAGCGAGGAAGCAGAGATTTCTCTGCGGAAAAGGAAGCACCAGGAGACGGATTACCCCCGATGGAGGAAACCGGTGTTACTGGAGAAAACCAATATCTTGAATGACAACATCACACAGATAACCAGAGACTACCACCTCATTGCGCCAGAGTCAACTGGCTCTGCCTTGAAACTGAAGGCGGAGAAGTACCATATCAAAAGGGACCGAGTGGAATGTAAAAATAGTGCGTTTACAGAAGTAGGAGCAGCGAAAATTAGTTTCATACACGAACAAGAAAAACCAACAGATTCTGAGACAGTGATGGAGATGAGCTCTGGTTTGAACGCAAACAGCAGTGTGTTTTCATTCGTTCTGCGCAGTGGACAGGAGGAGCAGAAAAGTGCTTTCTGTAAACCCAGTAAAAGGACTTCTTCTAACCGCTCTACAGCTCACCCATCCAACACACCTGCCCCATCGAACTACCTAGAGGACGTGAGAGACATTTTTACCTCAAAGACTGTTCTGGGATACAACAATTTGTTGGCATCTAATATGTTGAATGGTGATTTACCTGGCGCACAGACCCTACCCACACCGGTTACTGGCAACGCTTTTCCCTACCCTCCAGAGCACTGGTCCAGGAGCATTGGAGCCCAACTACAAAGCACGTCATCGATTCTTCCTCCAACATTTAGCTCCTTTGGGGTGTCAGTGCAGAACTGGTGCGCCAAGTGTAACCTCTCCTTCCGCATGACTTCAGACCTGGTGTTCCACATGCGCTCCCACCACAAGAAGGAGTTTGCGGCGGAGTCCCAGGTGAGGAGGCGAGAGGAGAAACTCACCTGCCCTATCTGCCATGAGTTCTTCCGGGAACGGCACCACCTGTCACGCCACATGACGTCTCACAATTAAAGCCTATTGGACATATGAAAACGGGAATTTAATGAAAACGACATCGGACATTCTGTATGTAATTACAAGAGTAGACCTGAGTAATTAAACATTTAATGACAATTTGAAGTCACGAACAGCTGAATGTAGGACCATCCACTTGTGATTATCGATCATTACGCATTTGGGCACATAGGTGGCCATTCAGGATTGCACACAGTGTCCACTAGATGGCAACAGAATATGAAATTGAATACACTACACATTACTTTGCCTATCTGCACTGTGGGTGATAGGAATATTGTGGATCATTGTCCTGTTGTGTAGGTTGGAAAATTACATATGTCTGAACTGTGCCTTGTGAAACTCAGGGTCGACTGGAGAGAGACTGAAGGTCGCTTAATTGCAGCTCTTGCTATAGACCCTTTATTGTTAAACATGTTTTCAATGTCTGTTGCTCATTGTTTGACTGGACATACAGTATTACCAGAGCTTGTACAGAGATGTGTAGATTCATTTAGCTGTTTTTGATGAAAAACATCAAAACCAAACTCTACTAGCACTGTGTCTTTATACTTAGGCCTACATAAAGACATTTTGTGTGAAACATATGGAGCTTGTATTACTTGACCCACTAGATTCACTGGGGTCACCCATACATGTGACCACATAGGCCCACAACCTGAACTATTTGAACCATTTCATTTTCATGACCTGAAAGGGGACATGCATTGCTGAATAAAGATATTAGATTTCACCTAACAGATGAAAATGACTGCAAATAACACAGTGTATAATAATATGGAAACATTTATATATTTGAAAAACCATTTTAGCAAACTGTTGAACGTTTGAGACGGCATTGCCTTTAGTGGTCCTCTGTAGCTCAATTGGTAGAGCATGGCGCTTGTAATGCCAGGGTAGTGGGTTCGATCCCCGGGACCACCCATATGTAAAAATGTATGCACACATGACTGTAAGTCGCTTTGGATAAAAGCTAAATGGCATATTATTATTATTATTATTATTCCCTTCTATTCCAACAGGTGGCATCAGACACCAATGTTCCTCAAACGCAGCGGCCAGTGAGTCAAGTAGTTCAATCCCATTCCAAGATACTTGTTGGCCTTTTCAACTTGTTTAATGAAGGCGGGTAATGACTCCAATGAGGCCAAGTGGGGATAGTACCAAAACCAACAATAAAATTGTTATACAGTATTAGGCCATTCATTATAGTGGTAAAAAACCCATTCCACCTGGACCATCACTCACAATAGTCTGACTCATGTCTTTATTTGTCACTCATCAAGCTTATAATCTAGAATTTACATGCTGACAGCGAGAGCAGCTCTTAATCAATCACTTAATCTGTTAATTTGCACAATATCTGGTTAATCATGCTGAACATTAAACACTGAACCTAATGGCTGGTTACGGTAGCCCTAAGGGGCAAATTAATTATTTGTCTGGACCCTGAAGACAAATAGAACCAATATCGAATGGCACACAAGGTCAACTCTTTGGCAATTTCTCACATTGACAAAGCTGGAAAGATTACATTCTTATCAGTTTTACTAGATGGAACTCACCTCTAGAGTGCGATCTTTCCACATGATTGAACAGGCCCAACAGGCCCAATTCCATTTCAACATTTCAACCTGCCCAAGTCCCTTTCCCCTGCCGTAAGTGTTCACAGATCTGAAAGAAGAGTGATGTCTCCAGGGTGGAGCTTTACATTTTTACATTTTAGTCATTTAGCAGACGCTCTTATCCAGAACGACTTACAGTTAGTGAGCGCATACATTTTTCACACTGGCCCCCAGTGGGAATCGAACCCACAACCCTGGAATTGCAAGGACCATGCTCTACCAACTGAGCTACAGGAGGCCTGTTGCTGACACCTATCTAGTCACTTTACATAGGCCTAGTGAACTGAACACCATAGGGTAGGCATAGAGGTTAGGGGTTGAAATGGAAGCATCACTTTGTAGTGATTCATTTTAAGAAAGAAAGCCTTTTGTTTTACCAAAGTGACCTGATGATATCTTGTTGCAGAGATATAACTTGTTTTGAGTCTTCATAACAGCTGATGAAAAACATACAGTACCAGTCAAGGGTTTTTCTTTATTCAGTCAAACAATGATAGTTCTGTTTCAGACATTATAGAATAAATGTGAATGTGATTATATAAACCGACACAATATTAGTCCTCCTAATTAACAAAACGACGATTCACCTCGGGTTCTCATCACCTGCGGAAAGAGCCGTTTCAGGCGAGCACAGAAAATCCTCTGTCATCTCATAATAGCTGCCTTCATATCCTCCATTAATTGAGCCGCCTCCATTTGGAAACCCAAATATTGCCCTTGGTCCTCCCGGCTAAACTGCACTTTATTTATAAAACAGGAGTACTGTAGTTTTTCCTTGAACTGAGGCTTTGAACCCCCCCCCCCCCATTATTTTATATGCACAAATGGTCTAGTGTGAAAAGATGATTGCCCAAATTATTCTCAGCATGATTTAAAAGTAGGGTACAGGGAATTTAGAGAACTCCTTCAAGTTGAATCCCGGGGCGCAACTTTCACTGGGGACTGGGGGGACATGACCCCCCACATTCTGAAATTGCATGTTTGTCCCCCCCCAGTTTTATCATTGCACTGTGATACAAAACGTGGCTCCGGTGTGCTTTAGAACCATGCGGACGCCTCAGAGCGGTCAGGTAGGCTCTTTTCGTTTCAGCCGGCTGGATATAGGACTGCACAGACACAACCACCAGAGCAGAAGTGTGCGGACAGGCTGTTGAAGATAGAGCCTCTGAAAGCTGAGTATGGACCAGCTGGGAGAGATTACCGATGGGCAAAGCTGCTGTCTGTGTTTAAAGCTTTAACTCAGAGTTGTAAAACAAGCAGAGTATAACTGGCTACTCTTTATTGACCTGATCTAGCTGGCAAAGTACAGTGGGAAAAAAGTATTTAGTTCAGCCCCATTGTGCAGTTCTCCCACTTAAAAGATGAGAGAGGACCTGTAATTTTCATCATATGTACATTGCACCTATGACAAGGACAAAATGAAAAATCAAAGTCCAGAAAATCACATAGTAGATTTTTAATGAATTTATTTGCAATGATGGTGAAAATAGTATGGTCCAATGAACAAAAGTTCCAATACTTTGGTTATATACCCTTTGTTGGCAATGACACAGGTCAAACGTTTTCTGTAAGTCTTCACAAGGTTTTCACACACTGTTGCTGGTATTTTGGCCCATTCCTCCATGCAGATATCCTCTAGAGCAGGGATGTTTTGGGGCTGTCGCTGGGCAACACGGACTTTCAACTCCCTCCAAAGATTTTCTATGGGGTTGAGATCTGGAGACTGGCTAGGCCACTCCAGGACCTTGAAATGCTTCTTACGAAGCCTCTCCTTCGTTGCCCGGGCGGTGTGTTTGGGATCATTGTCATGCTGAAAGACCCAGCCACGTTTCATCTTCAATGCCCTTGCTGATGGAAGGAGGTTTTCACTCAAAATCTCACGATACATGGCCCCATTCATTATTTCCTTTACACGGATCAGTCGTCCTGGTCCCTTTGCAGAAAAAACAGCCCCAAAGCATGATGTTTCCACCCCCATGCTTCACAGTAGGTATGGTGCAACTCAGCATTCTTTGTCCTCCAAACACGACGAGTTGAGTTTTTACCTAAAAGTTCTATTTTGGTTTCATCTGACTATATGACATTCTCCCAATCCTCTTCTGGATCATCCAAATGCACTCTAGCAAACTTCAGACGGGCCTGGACATGTACTGGCTTAAGCAGGGGGACACGTCTGGCACTGCAGGATTTGAGTCCCTGGCGGCGTAGTGTGTTACTGATGGTAGGCTTTGTTACTTTGGTCCCAGCTCTCTGCAGGTCATTCACTAGGTCCCCCCGTGTGGTTCTGGGATTTTTGCTCACCATTCTTGTGATCATTTTGACCCCACGGGGTGAGAACTTGCGTGGAGCCCCAGATCGAGGGAGATTATCAGTGGTCTTGTATGTCTTCCATTTCCTAATAATTGCTCCCACAGTTGATTTCTTCAAACCAAGCTGCTTACCTATTGCAGGTTCAGTCTTCCCAGCCTGGTGCAGGTCTACAATTTTGTTTCTGGTGTCCTTTGACAGCTCTTTGGTCTTGGCCATAGTGGAGTTTGGAGTGTGACTGTTTGAGGTAGTGGACAGGTGTCTTTTATACTGATAACAAGTTCAAACAGGTGCCATTAATACAGGTAACGAGTGGAGGACAGAGGAGCCTCTTAAAGAAGAAGTTACAGGTCTGTGAGAGCCAGAAATCTTGCTTGTTTGTAGGCGACCAAATACTTATTTTCCACCATCATTTGCAAATAAATTCATTAAAAATCCTACAATGTGATTTTCTGGAAAAGAAATTCTCAATTTGTCTGTCATAGTTGACGTGTACCTATGATGGAAATTACAGGCCTCTCTCATCTTTTTAAGTGGGAGAACTTGCACAATTGGTGGCTGACTAAATACTTTTTTTCCCCACTGTATATGCTATTTCACAGAAAGAAAATGTTTATTCCCAGTGCTGAGCTAGTAGTGTAACTGACATGTTACATTAGGCAATGTTTCATCCCTTCTTGACTGAAGTGAATGAACTACTAGCAGCTAGTTATTACATTTTAGACTTTTTAGCAGACGCTCTTATCCAGAGCGACTTATAGTTAGTGAGTGCATACATTTTCATACTGGCCCCCCGTGGGAATCAAACCCACAACCCTGGCATTGCCAGCGCCAGTTCAGCTCTAGCTAGCCTGTAGCTACAGTATCTGTCAGGTAGCACTATCTAACAGCTGTTGTGTGTATGAAAATGTTTTGTAGCCTTTGTTTTATACAGTTTTCAACAGAAGTACATTTGATGATGTAGCATTGTACCATTAGCTAGCAGAGCTAGCCAAAAGTTGGCTAACTTTAGCTAGCTAGCTAGCTCACTAACTTTAGCTATTATATTTGCCTCAATCGCACCTA